TATTGACCCTATATAGATCATAGTTTAAGGATGATGCAAAACATCGAAGTTGGGTTAGAATAATATTCAGTTTTCGAATTCCAATCTCATATTGCTTCGGTACAAATATGTTACTCTGAGGGTCAAGTTTTTTTAGTTCAGTTTTAAATGTATTTATTTATTCCGCATCACGAGTTGAATCATCAAGATTATTCCAAAGACGTATGGTTGATGGAATAAATGAATCATTAGTCAATGCTAGTCTGCAGAATGGAACAATGATGTCATTTCCATTGCGTAGAGGATAGACCGTCATACTTTGGATTTTTTGGGGAATTAAATTTGTCAAATATTCTGGAACATTATTTTTTTTAATTTTTTTCCCATCCAAGTTCTTCATAAATAACCCTTGTGCTTGTGAATATAGGTAACCCCGTAACTATTCTAGCAGCTTGGAGCTGTAATTGTTCCAGTTTATTGATATAACCTACCCCAATATTACCCCAAACTTCACTGGCATACTCAAATAAAGGTCTTATAAAAACTAAGAGTTTTTCTAAATTTTTTCTGCTCAGTTTATATTTCAACTTCCTTAGCATATTTATATGTTTAGATGTGCTTAAGATAATGTTATCAATGTGGACATTCCATTTAGCATCATTGCTAAATGTAACCCCTAAATGTTTATGAATATTTGTAATAGGTATATTTTTATCATTGAATATAAAGTTCATTTCTGGGATTTCAACATTAGAAAATAACATAATTTCTGTTTTATCTGGATTAAAAGACATTAACCATTTTTTGGACCATTTGTTCAGCTTTTCCAGATCATGGTTTATCACAGTTTCTATCTGCAATGCATCACGATCCGCACAGCTGAACGACGTGTCATCTGCAAAGAGTCTGCACAGAGAAATAAGTCTTTCTGCAATATCATTAATATATATTATAAAAAGTGATGGTCCAAGGACCGACCCTTGAGGGACTCCAGCTGAAATTCTGCAAAGTTTTGAAGAAGATTGCTTGATAACCACTCTTTTTTACTATCACTTAGGTAGCTTCTAAACCATTTTAACAGATTTCCATTTATACCATAAGACTTCATTTTATGTAACAAACCATCATGCCAAACTTTATCAAAGGCTTTGGAGAAATCGCAAAAAACAAAACAACTTATCTCTTTCTTTTCAAGTGAGTTCAATATGCAATTATATATTTCTAACAGTTGGTGAACCGTTGAACATTTAGGAAGAAAATCCGATTGATACTCATAAATTAACTTATTTCTTTGTGAGTGGTTGTAAACATTAGAAAATGAAAGGATATGGAGTAGATGTACATGGGACAAAATCGCACACAATACATAGAAAACATAGAAAATTATCAATGAACAGGGCTTTTATTCCTGTTCTTCATCTTGACAGTTGATGTAGGGTTTTCAACAATGAATGAATCATTCATATCCTACAACAAGGTCAAGACAGCCCCTAGCGTCGACTTAAGCGGCACTATTGATAAAAATAAACCACAGTTCACCTTCTTGCTCCCCACCCGCCTCGGAGTGCCAACTTGTGCGATGCTTGTGTACGACGGTTCTCCAGTCGAAATCACCAGGGATACAAGAAAAGTGCAGTAATTTTGAAAGACATCGATCGCCGCTAAAATATGCCTTGAAGTTACACATGTCGGGAGCGGTCAATGAATTACATAATTTATAATTACGGGCGAGGTTTTTCAACTTATATTTGTCATACATTGCCCAACAAAAGACCAATAATTTCGAAACAACAAATGATAGACAATACATATAAAACTAAAAAACAAATCATAGACAGCACGGGGCACATCGAAATATGTGTAAGAAAACCTAGCGGTTTAAAATAGTATGAAAGGACAATATACAAAACAGATGACCAGACCAGTATTTTGAAGAAATTTAACCAAACATGAAATTTTGACGGTGTATTAATATTTATATATAACACGTTCCATGACTTTGCCTATGCAACTAATGAGTGATATAGGTCTATAATTGGAAGGTAATGAACTATCCCCCTTTTTAAATAAGGCTATAACATTTGCAATTTTCTAGCTGGATGGATACTTGCACTGCTGCAAGGATTTATTAAATATTATACATAATGGAATTGCAATTTTTTCGGGACAAATTTTAAGCATCTTATGACTAATGACATCCGGGCCTGACGCTTTTTTAGGACTTAAAGTTTTTATAATGTCAACAATTTCACTAGTACTAATCACTACATCATTCAATAAATTGTTAGTTTTTTTGTCGAAATCGGGTATTTGAGCATCAACTTCTGCTACCGATGAAATAAAACAAAAATACTTATTAAGAATGTCGCATTTCTCGTCGTCTCCATCGGCGAACTCCTCGAAACGTTCATCATTAAGAATATTTTTTAATGGGGGTATGTTAAATTATTAGAACCTCTACTTGGCTTAATCAGCATCTTCATAATTTTCCAATAAGTCTTAGAATCGGAAGCGTTATCTAGTATAATATTTTCTCAAAATTTTCTTTCGTTTCTTTCTTCATATTATTCACTTTATTCCTCTGTTTCTAATATTTATTAATATCCTTTTCTTTTTTAGATTTGTTGGTGAGTCAAAACAGCCATTACACAAACACCTCAATTGACATAGGATCAAAATCATGAAGAAGCCATATTTTTCAGTGGTCTAACATTTAACTTGTTAGATCGATGCAAAGCAGAAAAACAACTAAAAAAAACACAGACCGAACGAGGCAGGGAATTTATAGCTCCACTGCACAGCAAAAAAAAAAAGACACAAAGTACAGATCTGAGAGTACTCGCAGTTACTGACAGCTAGTACAAAGCCAATAACAACTAATTAAAAAAATCATGTATCTAAGACTAAAATATCAATCAGTACACATAAAGTCTAACATTTGATTTTGTCAGTTATTTATAGACTTCCCCTTTTTGCATTTACCTTGGAGTTCGGTATTTTTGTTATATACTTTAACACACTAGGAACTCATTTTGATATTTAATTTTGGAAACTTGAATGATTGACAGTCACACTGACGAATGTAATTTGTGCTGTAATATTTGTCAATACAATACAATACAATTTCATTTTATTCGTATATAAATATCTTTTTACCAGTATCAATTTTCAATCTTCACATTTTTATTTTTCCTGTTTAAATTCTAGAAAAGGTAAAATACAATTATATGAAAGTCCTTAGTGTTCATAAACACAGGTAATTGAGAATTAATTCGTAATCTTGAAAGTTTTACAATAAACAAACCCCAATACTGAAGGCCTGGGTGTCGTGCGTGCGTAGTTATACATCACAAACTGTCGAAATATAAAAGTATATGTTAAATCATATGATATACAACCAATTAATAACCAATCATATTGTGCATATTGTTGTTGTAAAATTATGCCCTTTATGGGTTCTTGATTGGAATAATAAAATTATTATTCTTTGTCTTATCGCTGATGAATGCAAACAAAAAAAAACCTACCAATTCAACTAGGTTCATTTATTCAGGATCTTTCCTGTCCCTCCCGCTGGGTATCTTTCCAGACAATGTTACTCAAAAGACCTTTTAAGAACTTCCCCGTATCAGAATCAGTGGATTTTTTAACTATGATTTGTATCATTCTTTGAGGATATGGTTTTATAAATTCATTTATTTATTTCAAATACGGGCTAGTCCAGTCTCAATAATAAAACTTTTGTTCTAATTTCTTTAAATTTTAACAGAAATAAAACTCTGGGTCGATTGCAAGCTAATCGTTGAGGTTTTGATAGTTGTAAGGTATTTTCAAGTGGAACCTAAAGCAGTTTACTTTATTTTTAGTACGTTGTTGTGTTTTGATGAAAGAGATAGCACCTAGAAATAATTACACCTTATGTAAGAATCATGGGTTTTGATTGGTTGATAGCCAGTGTATTTTTCACCAATTTACTGTTATCAAATGTATATTGTTCATTTTTTAACGCCGCCGGGGTATATGCAAAAAGGATATGCCTTTTTTACCCTCTCTGCCGTGGTATTTGCCAAAATACCAAAATACCAAAATACCAGTCTTGAGAATGAATTTCCCTCGCCTTACGGCTCGCGAAATTTAACATTCTCTCGACTGGTATTTTTCGCAAATACCCCTCCTTAACATGATATATCTGTTCAATACTCACTTGAAACTGAGAATTAGACCAAACCATACATGAATAAAAATAACCAATCCTAGTGCAACAAGGTATTCGGTACCTTTCCACAGAACTTTTTATACCAACAATCGTCTTGTGAGTATAAATAAGTCTTTTCACAAAATACTTTTATAAAGATAAGAAGATGAGGCATGATTGCCAATAAGGCATCTATCCACCAGAGACAGTTATTTTGTTGTTTTCAGTTTTGTATAATGGTATTTCTATAGAACTTATCGTGACAGAACATTGGTCTATCAACAGAACATTGGTCTATCAACAGAACATTTTATTCTAATACTACTGTACATTGGTAGATTTAGTTTTATTGCAAGTGCAGTACATTGTTTTTTCTCTACGAAATTGGTTATATATATTATTTTTCTCTCGACAGCCTAACATACAGATGCGCTTTCATATAACATTTCATGTTCATATTTGTATTATTGTATTTTGTTGATCATTCACAAATATAATACATCTAGTTTATTTAGTAATTTTGTTCAAATGATAATTCTTCGTGTTTATCAGCAACCATTCGACGAATTCCTTATCCGTTATTACAATTGGAATTATGTAAACCCAAATTGTTATGTTCTTCTCACGGGACACCTGATAATCAGAAGCTATAACAAATTTAAACACCTACTAGAAATTTTATGATTTTATTCAATATATTTAAATATGTTAGGGTTCGAAGATTTAATGCAATTGACTACTTAAATTTTATTTATCCAAGCATGTCTGTTAAGAGCATTAGTAAGTTTCGAATAGGATTTTCTCTCATTTAAATAATAGTTTTTATTTTTTAATTCCACAGACGTCTTGTTCAATCAATATTAAACTTAATACTGTTTTGTTGATAACAAAGACTGTTACGGGTAGAATAAAACTAACCATTGATGAAAATTGATTTTACTTGTGTAGTTTATTTAATTGATGCCAGTTGTACGGAATAACTCAGTCTCCTCAGGTAAGCATTGTTTCTTCAAGCAATACTGTTTTGGTTTAATTATAACTTACCAGTCATATTCGCTTTTTTAAATAAACACCATTGTGTAAATTATGTACTAGTATAACTCTTGTACGGTAAATACTTAATATAAAGAAATATAACGTAACCTTAAATCATGTTGCTGTATGAAAGGATCAATGTAAGAGAGGGGGTCTTTTGAAGGCTAATCAATATGAACACTGACATTGGTAACTTTAATCCGATGTTATCGAGACAATCTCCCAAAAACATTTAAACACAAGAAAAATCAAAGTACTGAAGTACTGAACATCGGATGACTGAAAGTTCTTGTGGATTGTCAAAAGCACTTGTCACAGAAAAAAATCACATCTCTATACCTGAAACTGAGGTTAATGTACAGAGATTTTTTTTTACTGAGACAAGTTCGTGCGTGGATGATGAATAAATGACAGGAAATTCAACATCACCGTAATAACTATTATATTGTAGTGATACAAATCAGTATACACTGGTTTGTTGTTATATATTATATAAATATAAAAGTTACATGTATATATAATTTTCATCCATTTGTATATCATTCTATTCTACTATTCTAATAAGAGTGCAGTGCAAGTGCATGGTGGACTCTCTTCTGTAAAATATCGATTTTTTCTAAAAGATTGGATATGAGTAGGCATTCATATTTTCCCGCAAAAACAATCTTCCATGCAGAGTTACCGGTCCTTGCGGGATTGTCGCAAAATGTTCTTGAGATATTCTTCCGCATGCTAAATAATATCAATGATTTTTTACTTATATATATATATATATATATATATATATATATAATATATATATATATATATATATATATATATATATATATATATATATATATATATATATATATATATATATATATATATATATATAAGTGCCTATAAATAGCAGCACATGACATACAAATCTATGGGAGTGTGGATTAATCAGTACAGAGATTAATTCAATTACACAAATAAAATTAAAGATTGCCTAACAATGTAATTTTAACACACTATTTAGTATGTAAATATAAGAATGTTTAAAATATTTACAAAATGATGAAAATAAACGCAATATTTCGCTAGACTAACTAGCTTTATCAAGCGTGCATCTATCCAGGTGAAATCGGATGTAGATGATAAGAAACTTTTGCAGCTCAATGTATATGTTGCACTTGAATTTAGCTGCCTTGAAAATAATACATAATTTGGATGAAGTTCAAGATTTTTACAAAATTGGTAGTTGAAGTTAGCAACGTCCATTGGCCAATATATATCTAACGACAAAACATTTTCATATTATTAATTTATGTTCTAAACACAAATATTGTTATCAGTATTCATTGAAGAGATGCATTTATAAAAAACGATAAGGAATGTTATTTTGCACTCGTTAATATCCGCGTATTTATCATGTTTATAGATCGGTTACAAACCCCAAACGAAAGTTACGTAATGGAAATCTAGGCGATAGCAATACATCGGAATTCCCTCACGGTCATCGCGATGTAAAGATCATTCAAATCGATACGATACAAAAATTACGCCAAGTTATTTGAAAAGGCTTCGTATTAATACTCGTTGTTAATAGAAGAGACAACCTGACAAACAATTTGTACATAAGGACAATGATGTGAACAACTACAGCGCAAGGCCTTCAACAATAAGCAAACAAAATACCGTAAAGAAGGCATCGGGATCATTCATCCGAAAAAAAACCAACGGCATGATTTAGGCTAAAACCAATAGACGAAAATAATTAAGGCAGACAGCAACCAATACAACCTCTGATTGAATTACAGGCTCCTGATTTGGGACGGGTACTTAATGAATGCAGCGAGGCTAAACGTATCTGTAAGCGATTAACCCTCCCATAACTTCGGACAGTGGTGTAACGGTACAACAATAAAATAAAAAAAAACTGTAAAAAAGGAGTTGAAAAGGGCTAGACTTGTCCAATCGTTACAAAAACAATTACTGATACGACAAAGAACACAAAGAACCGACCTAAGAGATATGATTGGATAAAAAAAATATGATTACTCGCAGTAATGGAAGGCTAGTCCAAAGCGAAATAAATAGATTATACTTTCCCCCTGACTAAAATATCAACTAGTACACCTCCAAAGGATACAGATTTTGATTGTTTGTCCATTTCATAACGAAAATATGTCAAGATATTGTAAATGCTAAGGAATTTCACAAACTTTCACGAACATATCAAAATCAATACAGATTATCCTGATGTTCAGTGGTTGTCGTTCGTTGATGTGGTTCATAAGTGTTTCTCGTTTCTTGTTTTTTTATATAGATTTAGTTGGTTTTCCTGTTTAAATAGTTTTACACTAGTCATTTTGGGGACCTTTATAGCTTGCTGTTCGGTGTGAGCCAAGGCTCCGTGTTGAAGGCCGTACTTATAATGGTTTACTTTTACAAATTGTGACTTGGATGGAGAGTTGTCTCATTGGCACTCATTATCATACTCTTCTTATATCTATGTCATCGAAATACATGAAAACATAAGTTGATTTCAATCAAATAACCTTTATTCGTTTTACTAATAATATGATACCTGACTGATATCTTACATTTGCAGAGTTTTGCGGTTCATGATTATGATAGTATTGAAGTAAAAAGTGTTGTACATGTTAGTTCAAACCCATATTTTGATAACTGATTTTATTTGGCGAGGGGAATTTTTTATAAGTAACTTCGCGATGACCGTTATTTGTTTATATCCTTGTCATTTTGGTATTTAGTGGATAATTTTCTCATTGATTATCATAAAACACCTTTTTATTTTTATATTCATTATATTGTGAATAAAAGGAAACGTCAATAAGACAGTAACCCAACGACAGTAAAAGACCTGCAGAGGTCAACATACGATTTAAAACAATATACAGGTGTTTATTCATGAAATAGGTATTGAACATATTAAATGTAGTCCCTATACCATTACTCTGCACCCTGTAACTGTAGAGTTGGTCCAATAGAAATAATTCATACACACATTATTAAATCTATAATGTTGTAATGTTGTGTTTTGTTTACAGATATGTTTTGAAGCAAATGTTTGGTGCTTTTTACTTTTATACTAAGTCTTACTCTTGTACATAATAACGTAGTTACATGTGTCCATAGTATGTGTCTTCATATGCCGAATTTTTATATAAGCCTTTGTCATGTCATTCGTATGTTCTCATACGTTTTTTTCCTGTATGATTCAAGAAATGTACCGTTATAATTATTTTGCATAACTTGAATAAAGTCCATATATATATATATATATATACAAAATAACCCTAAAAGAAATTTTGGATGCTATAAATAAACTAAAGAATAATAAAGCTGCAGGACTAGATGGTATCCCAAACGAGATATTAAAATCAGGGGGTAGTATATTTGCACCTGTTTTGCAGAAACTTTTTAACTTGATATTCTGCTCTGGAACATACCCTCGCAAATGGTCATTGTCTTATATATGTCCAATTTTTAAAGCAGGGAGTCCTAGTAAACCTGAAAATTACAGAGGCATAGCAATTAATTCATGCATTGGAAAATTATTTAACAGTATTCTTAATAAAAGACTTGACATTCATCTTGATAAAAATAATATAATTCATCCATGTCAGGTTGGTTTCTCAAAAAAGAGCAGAACATCTGACCATATGTTTGTTTTAAAAACCATATTAGATAAATATACTAACAGAAAAGGGGGGAAAATTTATGCTTGCTTTGTGGACTTTAAAAAGGCTTTTGATAGGGTCATACACTGTGGTATTAGATACAAATTATTGGAAAATAACATATCTGGAAAATTTTATACTATTTTAAAAGACATGTACAGAAAAAATGAAATGTCGGTGAAAGTGGGTAATGTACTAACGCCATCTTTCAGCTCGCTAGTTGGGGTTAGGCAAGGGGATGTTCTAAGCCCAAATTTATTTAAGCTTTTCATTAACGATCTGCCTCCAAGATTTGAGTCGAGTCCAGATGCTGTTTATATCAATGGGCGTAGAATTGATTGTCTTATGTACGCCGATGACATTATTATATTATCAAACACTAAACAGGGTCTGCAAACCCGACTTGATAACCTGCAAACTTATTGTATTGATTGGTGTCTAGATGTTAACTTGTCCAAAACAAAAGTTTTAATTTTTAACAAGCCTGGAAAATTTTTGAAGGAATCACTTTGTTTAGATAATGAGGCTATAGAATGTGTTAACAGATATAAATATTTAGGGATAGTCTTTACTTCCAGTGGTCTTTTTCAGCAGGGGAAAGAAGAGCTATTCAAAAAGTCCTTAAAGGCAAAATTTAAACTACAAAAATCCATGTCAGCTTGTAATCCAAGTATTGATACTGCAATCCATTTATATGATCACACAATAAAACCAATTTTATTATATTGTAGTGAAATCTGGGGTACCTTTAAGATTAACTCTGCTGCTTGCAAGAAAAAAAGTGATTATCTATTTGAATTAATTTACATAAATGATTATTTGGAAAAATCACATTTCAGGTATCTAAAATATATTCTTGGTGTAAATAAAAAAGCCTCAAATTTGGCAGTGTTATCAGAGGTTGCAAGATTTCCTCTTTATTTTTCTGTCATTATATCTATGGTAAAATATGTACACAGGCTTAACAAATTGGACGATGGGTTACTTTATGATGCTTATGTTTGTAATAAAATTTTAGATGCAGGAAACATTAATTGTTGGTATTCATCTATGAGATATGTCCTTCAATCACTTGATATACAAAATTTGAATACAAAGCTCAATAGATTAATTAAATTTGTAAAATGTAAACTTTGTAACAGTTTTAAAACATTTTGGGGGTCAAAAGATCTGATACCTTATCACAAGGTAATAGTAAATTAGAAAATTATTTCAACCTCAAGACTGACTTCGTAAAGGAGGCTTATTTATCAATTAAAGATTTTAATATAAGAAGAGCTATATGTAAATTGAGAATAAGTGCACATGATCTTAAAATTGAGAAAGATAGGTATAGTAGAAAATACATAGAGAGAAGTCAGCGTCTATGTCATCACTGCCTATCACATGGATCAAATTCTATTGAAGATGAGACCCATTTCACAGTAAGTTGTCCTTTATATAACGAACAGAGAAAATTATTATGGGATAAAGTAAACAGTTTTTGTAATAATTTTAAAGAATTACCCAAGGATAAAAAATATTTCTGGCTGTTCACAAATGAGCATTTACCAACTCTTATGTGCCTAGGCAATTATATAATTAAGTGTTTAGAAATAAGATCCAGGTGGATACAAAATATATAAAATTATTATGCAATTATTGTTAATGTTATGTAAGACACATGATGTGTTAGGCTCTGATCCTGTCCAATATATGATAGTATTATATTAGGATATAGTTTTTCTTTTTTCCAATCATATTGTGCTTAATATTGTTGTAAATGATGCCCTTTATGGGTTCTTGATTAGATTAATAAAATTCTTATCTTATCTTATACACCTTGTAGGTAAACTTGAGTGCCACAACAGACACATATCTCTAGCAAGTACACTTGTAAATTAAAAATAAAACTTAACTATGATAGGATAGTCTGCAAATGCATTTGCTATCAATCGAAAAAAATCTGTATGTTTTGGTAACAAGAAAATTCGGTTATGTATACTTTGCACAAATTGTTTATACATGAGTCATTAAAAGGTACCAATTTGACTGCACCAGATGCGCATGTCTTTTCAATAATGCTCGAGACTTAAACAACTCAGAAAACGTAGACATTCGTTAATTCTGGCCCCTTAGGGTTGACGGTCGTATTGGAATATGGTCACCTGGAATTCTCCCATCTGTCAGTAAAACCCATGTTGAGGAGGCGTTTGTTTGTATGTGTAGGATGTATAAATACGCAGCCACGTCCGATCAAATTGGCGAAGTTCAATCTGATGTATCGTGTAAAGTAGAAATACGTTAAATAAAACATGCAACAACTCTTTGACGACTGTTGCAAGTTTAGATGTCTTATTCTATCCAAAATTTTCAGTCTTCCACAGTTGCCTATGATTTTTTTTCGTTCTTAGTCATCCCGGTCCACTCACTTTACAAAATCTACCTTTTTGATTGATGTTAAATTTGTTCTCAACCTAAATATGCATGACATTAATCAATAACTGTTAAATGATAATAAATTCAGATTGCAAGTATGGTCATCCTTTCAAATATATGTACATTGTGTGTGCTTCTACAATTAAAAAAAAATCCCTGATTTCTGTATTAAGTCATCCAAGATCGACGAAGTTTTCAATTTCATGTAAAAACTAGTGTAAACAAAATCAAAGTTTTAACTACAACATACGTATTTCCATGAACATTTACACTATAGTGTCTTTTGATGTCTTTGATGGCTCCCCATCTTTCCCCAAATGTCTATTTAGAACCTTTTCTTGACGGTAGACAATTAGTCGTTTTTTATTTTTACATAAATGGTCATATTAAGACAAAAAGTTTGAAACAAATTATCACACAACATATCATTAATTAACTGTTTTTGCTAATTGCAGGTGTTTGAAGGTATTTTTTAAATACATTCACGGCTTGACTGGACTCTGAGGATTTAGAGTTACAGATATTTACCTATTGTTATAGACGGTATGTTGTTTCTTTGTAGCTTGTTTATGTTGTGGTGTACGTTGTCGTCTCTATGAGATATACCCATCATTTTCTTTCGTTTTTTTCTACAAAGCATATAAAATATCTGATATATACAGTATGAACAAACTTATGGCTCATGGAATCAACCTGAGATATACTGTCACAATTCGCACCATAATTTTGAAATTCAACGATGAAACTGAATTAGACCAAAGGAATAGTTCTTTATTGGAAAATATTGACCAGATTCATGGACCAACATAAATTTATAGTAAAAATTGGTACCTCACCCATCTCTTTGTAGAAAATACTTTTGTGTAGCTAGGATGGTAGCCAGTGCTTCCAAGGAAGCCGATACTGACATATGAAATACACTGAAAATGGTCAAAATCTTGAATAATATCATATTTTGGATGCAATTACCAATTTTTCTCATATCTAAAAGTTTCACCAGGTGCAGACTGTTATTTTTTTTAGATCATTAATATACAGCTACATAAGAATATACTATAAATAGAATATACTATGGTAGATTTTCAACAGTATTGTTTACATGAAAATAATGAATTATATTTATGTAACATAATTAGCAAGCATTCATATAGTATCTTGAACACATTTGGTTGCCTCTTAACAAACAACGAATAACACGACAGTATTACGATCATTTTTGTTGATCGGCATTTCATTTAATCGACAACGGTTTCTTAAAAAAAAATACAATGCTCTTTAGCCTTGCTAACTTGTGAAAATAAGATTTATTAATTTTCTGTTCACGCCCTCTCAATAGGTTACAAATATAGTGATTTCTTTCATTGTATTAATGCTGTTGGTAATTCCAGATGTGCTTATTTCTATGTAATAATTCTCTTTTATTCCCTATATTGTTAGCCATAGTACCGTGTGTAGATTTCCCCAACAATCAATGAATGATGGGTGTGTGCTTTTTCTTATCAAGAGGATTCGTTTAGTTCCATTATTGTGTCTTTGCAATTTCAGCTTCTCGTACACTGACCATACTTATAATTTTCTCTGGTCACTCAAAACGCACTTAATTCTATATGTTAAAATTTACAATACACTTGTTAATGCAAATAAAAATAGTTCTTATTTGACTCTATTCAGTTTAACTTAGGTTCATAATGGTAAAGATTTGACCCAGAGCTCTGGATTTTATCAAAATCTCTAAAGAGTTGGTTTTTTTTTTTGGTATGACGACATTGTTGACAATTTAAGAATATTTATGTTATATGACTTCGGATAATCACCATTCATCTCATCATATCCTGGTTCTTAATTTAGATTATTACATTAACATTAATAACTCGGTGGGTAACATGATCGAAATAGGAATTCGAACTGCCGTCATTCACAAGTTCATTTAGTTAAAGTTGCTGCTTTCAGTGTGTACACAAAATTCTTTAAAGAACAAAACTATTAAGATATGAGTAAATATAATCGCTGCAGCTATCTCAGACCTGGGACACGCACATGAACATGAACATGAATATGGATGGGTTTAACTACTTTTTTTGCACTCAAACCTCCCCCCCCCCCTTTTAAACTTCTTTAGCCTTTAGATAGCAGAATGTACATACAAGAACATATACAAATTTTCAGTTTACTCTGTAAGAAATTCAGATTGTTTTTAATGTATAGATGCGGGGTATACGTCAACCTGAGTAATTTAGATTGTTTTAATGTATACATGCGGGGTATACGTCAACTTGAGTAATTCAGATTGTTTTAATGTATAGATGCGGGGTATACGTCTGTTTTAATGTATAGATGCGGGGTATACGTCAACCTGATATTGAATTAACAAAGCACAAAAATAGGGATGGGACTTTTTTTTATAAATGGACCTAGAAATCTAAAAGTAACTTCAGGTACTACATTTATAATACCAACTAGATGCATTCTAGCGCACACATAGCAAAGGGACGTTTAACTAAAGTTTACATTAAATAATCTATGTTATTAGATTTTATTTGAAATCAAAGAAGGATACCTTGTGATGTCCAATCGTTCAGTTTAGGTTATTTTGTTTCGAGAGAATCTGGATGTATATCATAAAATAGGATATATGCTCTACCTATACTTAAGAAAAGCCCTTCATTATTATGGTACCAATAAAATAAACCTAGTTTCATGAATAAAAACTAACATAAATTAGATCCTCGCGTTTTCATTTTCTTTTTCACTCGCCACAAAAAAAATTGTCTCATTTTGGTTTTTAAGTCGTGCCTGGGATTTTACTTTCTTTGATTTATGTCAAGTTAAATCTTAGAAAAAAAGTAACCACCATGAATAAAAAAAAAGTAGACATTAATAAAAACGATGTCCATACTTTGCAAATATTTTCATGAGAATTCAATGTTCCGCTTACAGTTTCATCATATCGAAATATCCGTAGCTTTTTCCACCAACACAAATCTTACGAAAAAATATACTCTCAGGTCAGAAAAAAATTCATAGATCAATTTTAGTCCTAAGATATTTTGTTCCAAAAGACCCCTGTTGTCACCTAGAAAGACGTTTGAAATGGCTTCTCTGTAGACAATTTTGAAGAATTTTTTAACTGCCCTGTTATCTACCAGATAATGTTGCATACATTGTCAATTAATATTTGTCAATTTAAAGTTTGCTGAATAGCCACCAATCGAGTATCAAATAAAAGTAATCATACCCTGATTTCTATTCCTAGGCTACTTATTCAACAAAATAATGTATGTCTATATTGAGATTGTGTGAAGATAAACATTTTAAAACATCACATTAACATTTTAGATATAACATGAATTGAAATGTTTTGTCAAATACGTATATGATTATATGTGTAATTTTACTATATTTCTCTTTGTTGTTGAAATTGGTGTAGCTAGTTTATTCCAATGGCATAGTAAGATTTAAATCTTTAACCAGTCCCAATATCTTCAGCAAATCTCCTGAAATTCTTTGTATCAAACTACATAAGTCATGTCGAGTGGAATAAAAACTTGAATGCATAAAACATAGAAGTATTTCTAGAGGTGACCTTAGGATTTAACAAGTTTGTTCTGTAAATAAGACTTTAAATTTTCAGAAGTAAAATATTGAAATGGTATTCTTTGTTAAACCTTAATTGGTTAAGTGTCATTTTTTCAAACCAACAAAGCATACTTGAATATAGAGAATGTATATTTACATACATCAAGGTTAAACCCATGTATATTTGTACATTGACGACTAAAGCATATAAAACTATTACTTATTCTTTCTCGAATACATAAGAACAAATTTGCCTATGGTTGCCCCTATTCAATGAGATAAGTTGATAATAAGGTTATTAACAATATTTAAATGGAAGAAGATACTATTTTTTAAAACCATCAAGGTTACAATTAATGTTATTGGATACCTTGCTGAAATACCATACACTTGGAACTGAAAGCGTTATATATCTACACCAAAAATGGCGTCCAGATTGAAAATTGTCATTATGGTAGGTTCTTATTTTCTCGTTTTTCTTTTTTAATAATGTTAATTCAATTTCTTTTTTAAATATGAAATCATTTTATCTATATTTACATTATCAGTAACGAAATCGACCATTGTTTCATATCTGAATATCTCTTTGGCCTTTTTCATAACGGTCAAAGTTAAATAGAATTAATATTTTGTATACAGTTGGTTTATAAAAAAAATCCTGTCTTATAAGAACCATTTCTTTGGAGAAAGATGCTAACAGGTCCAAAACAGTCCAAATTCATGACAATGTCGGGGTGTTGAATATTATATTGACCTTTTAGCTATAAATCAAAGTAAAAGTAATAGAAAGTCGAGGTTATTCTTGATGTATTGTAAAGGTCACAAGGATTTCGTTTTACGAGTTGACATATTGTTCATTTTTGTTAAGTATGGTACTTAGGTAGTCTCTTATTAGACAATAAAATGTCAATCTACAAATACCAAATAATCCACCGACGCCATCACTATATATCCGTCTTCTTTATCAACTTCCTTGTTTTTCTTTTGTATCATTGGTGAAAGATACTGAAACTATATTAATTCCGATATGGATGTACGTATGATGTTTTCGTTGACATATTTGTCTTATAACCAGTTCATTAATGCCTGTAGAGCTTATCGTGGAATCAATGTATGTCCGGTAGTGAATATCAATTTTGATGACAAATATGCCGGAAAGAAGGGAAATAACAATAGAGTAGGGTTTATTAAAATTGAAATATAAGTTTAGCAATTTAATCCCCAACATGTTAATGACCGTTAAACTAGTGACTTTCTAACAGAAAATTCCAGGTTTCCGTCTCAATAGTATTCGTTACTCATATTTTTAATTGTCTTTCATAATTTTAATTCCTTTTACTTTTTCTAGGCAATGCATTAAAAAAATGCTTAGAAACCCCATTTGTTGTCACTTTTTTTTTTAAAGTGTTCACCTTTAATACACGCCTTAACTTCTAGTTTTTTTCCTTCGAATGCCTGTTATTTCGCAAATGTTTTTCCTTATTTCGTTGAGTTGGATACCCAATAGAAAATATTACTAAATAATAAGTTGCAGTAGGTTCTCTCCCGGCAAAAGTATGAGTCATATTCGTTGTAAAAAAAAACCAGACGAAAAGGCCTCACGTTAAATACGGTGTATGCAAAAAAATGATTTTTGTCGAAAATTAAATCATAGCGGACCACTTAATACAAAGCAGAGGCTTCAGTCAAGCGTCCATGTTTAGGTTTTAAACAATTTAATGTAAACATCCTATTTACTACAGGGATATACCATATCACAACTTAACATATTGTATTATACTATATGAAAAGTCTGATGAAGGATAATCTATTCCAAATTTGACGATGGTATTAAATAATACAGACTGACATGTTTGAATTTCTATAGTATTTTCATTTATATTCCATACACCTGGTGACAAATATTAGCAGATATAATTTGATCGAACATGTTGATTAGAAAATAACCTAAATGTCACGACCTTATGGATAACGAAATAACATACCTAATTGATCTTATTTGCTTCAAACATATTTCTGTAACGCAGAATACATAGAAATTGAGTGAACTTTGTATAAGGACGCCACGTACACCTATTAATAACTAAGCTGATATTTTAGTATAACCTAGCTCCTTTTTGGTATATGTATGATTAAAACAAGAATGTGTCCATAGTACACGGATGCCCCACTCGCACTATCATTTTCTATGTTCAGTGGACCGTGAGATTGGGATCAAAACTCTAATTTGGCATTAAAATTAGAAAGATCATATCATAGAGAACATGGGTACTAAGTTTCAAGTTGATTGGACTTCAACTTCATCAAAAACTACCTTGACCAAAAACTTTAACCTGAAGCTGGACAGACGGACGAACGAACGAACGGACGGACGAACGAACGAAAGAACGAACGAACGAACGAACGAACGGACGCACAGACCGAAAAACATAATGCCCCTCTACTATCGTTGGTGGGGCATACAAATCATTTAGTTCTAGATTCTTTAGTTAAGTTGGCCCAAATGGTCTTTCTTTTAAAGCCCTTCCAGCGTCTAAATGTAATTAAGAATGAAAACGAGGAATGCGTCAAAGAGACAACAACCCGACCAAAGAGCAGAAAACAGCCCAAGGCCACCAATGGGTCTTCCACACAGCGAGAATCCCGCACCCGTGTGCGGGATTCAGCTGGTCCCTAAACAATAATGTATACTAAATCAGCGAAAATGGACGTCACACTAAACTCCGAAACATATAAAGTTTGTATGCGCGTTGGTATTGTCTCAAGTGTCTAGTGGGAACACGTGTCACCATAATAAATAATATTTGGTCGACAGCATTCTTTTGTCGGGTCTGCGACATTTTGTCGCGGAGGCGAGACATAGTGATCCTACATTCCGTCGGCGGTGTCAACATTTTAGGTTTAGTCTGTGGATAAAGTTTTTGTTTGTAACATCATAACTTTTGTAAACTTTCATGGAATTTTTCAAATCTTGGACAGAAGATTACCGGTATCTATGATAAAAAATAAAGTATCCAGAGCAAAATTTGGAAAAAATTTTTTTTTCATTTTCCCGTTTTTTTAGTGATAATTTTTTACAGTTTACATTGAAATACAGTGTAGGGTTAAAGTTTTTACGACATCAATTACTTTGTTTAACTTTCATGGAATTTTACAAAACTTTGACATTTGCTTCTTCATGATCAACAGTCTCCAGAGCAAAATTCTAAAGACATTTTCTTCCATTTTCCCAAATTTTATTGGTAAGTGAACTTTTTTTTTAGTTACATTCATAAGGCATCACTAACTTCGTCAAATCTTCAGAGAATTTCATGAAACTTTTTGAACATTTTGACAATTTTTTCCTTTTTCCATTTTTAACTGATAAATGGAATTCTATTTTTTTAGGAAACATTTACTTTCAGTCTTAGATAAAAAAAAATTTAAACATTTATAACTTCACAAAACCTTCATGAAATGTTATGAAACTTGGACAGAAGCTTATTCAAGATCAAAGAGTTGCATCTGAAGAAAAAAGTATGATTTTGTAAATAGTTTTCATATTTCTAACACATGGACTTAGTTTTTGGCAGTCAACATTACACATTTACATTGACAACAGCAATCGCAGGCGAGAAAAAGGTTCCACGGAATCCTTTACGAATGCTTATCAGTCCATCTGCTATTTTTTCCTTTCAATTACCTGAATTTGGTGTCACCTTTGTTTAAAATAAAAATAAGAAGATGTTGTATAATTGCCAATGAGACAACTCTTCACCAGAGACCAAAAGACGTAAAAATAAGCAGCTACAGGTCGCCGTATAGCCTTCAACAATGAGAAAAATATCTACATTTGTATCGACGAACTATAATAGTTCATTGAGGATGTCGTAAGTCCATGCTTACACTTTGGCATGGAATCAGTTTGATTTTAATATTTACCAAATGTTCAGTATTTCCTACTGAGATGGGAGTCTCTGTAGAAGGATCTAGCTATATAGTTTTAAGTTTCTACTCCAAATCGTATTGCAGACTTGGTTCTTGTAAATAAAATATGACGTCTGCTCTAGGTGATATAAGTAACAACTGTATTCCTTGATTATTTTGCGTATTTTGTCTTATTACATTTTACTTGCACTATTTTGTTGGACTTCATTTTGACGAAATTCTTTGCATTGTATATTGTGGGTTGTTGATTTCCATATAGTTGTGATGTCTTATTGTATTTACTAGAACATGATAAATTGTTTGATTTTATTTCAATGCATATGTAAACATATCTAAATAAAGATATGGAACCATATTTTGCAAGTGCATTTAATAAAGAGAGGACATCGCTCTTCTGACACTCATCTCGTATAGAATTAATCACATTACTGACATATAACCTTCACTGAGTGTAACAAGTACACAATATGTTTGTACGTTTTAAGTACAGTGATTGATTTGCATCGACTTTTAAAAATTTATTACTGTGTTTCGACTGCACCGATTGGATAGTATGATAGATAAGTACCAATAAGTCGTTTAAAGATCACTGGCTTTCTGAAGGGTACTTTAGATTAGATAAGGAGGTAACATTGATCTGATTTCGGGTATATATATAGAGATGTATTGGATAGATAATATATATCACAATTGTTAAAACATAAGATCCGACAAGTAAGTTGAGTTTTTACATTTTTAATCGTAAGAGAAATTTTTGCATCAAAATTTCATGTATAAATGTCATATCAAAAATAAAACCGCTATCGCGATCATTTTTTAAAGTGCATGATTGTAGTGGTACTGTATATATATTCCACATGTCATATAATCGTTGTCATTTCACAAACCCATCAACATGTTCCATAGTTTTTTTATGGTATTTCCTAACACAAGCATCTTGGTTCTCAATGAATTGATGTTTAGGCTTTTTATTTTATCTTCCACCATAAATTTGAAAATGAATTAGGATTTATCTATCAATTGAGTCGCTGAATGTGAAAAAGCATATGCATTGTTGTTTTCCTATTTCTTCCAAAAATTATCTATTGAGGATACGTGTATGCCTATTTTTCTCATCACTATTTTTTCTGTTATCAATAATGATTATACACAATACAATTCAACTCATTCAAGGATTTACTAAGTGATTTAAAAAAGATAATAAAATCCTTGACTCGTGCTAAAATAATATGCAAAGATTGGTAATCTCGTAAAAATGAACTAGCTTCGAATGAGGTTGCTCGTAGATTTGATCCTAGATCGTGCAAACTGAAGACTTTAAAACTGGTATTTGCTGATTTCCAACTAAGCACGTGGCATGCACGGGTAAGAGCAAGAACCGGTCGGATCGTGTCCTGGTAAGGTGACACATTTTCGTGTGGACTGTTTTCTTGAATATCAAGCTCAGCGTATGGACATAGCACCAAAAAGGAACTTAATTCTCATCACCTCAGGTCATAGTCCTTGATTGACCCCTGGAGCTTAAACATTCATTCTATATGCTATTCCTTTCAATGTGCAACAGAAACACATCCAACCATACACAGTTCCGTCCACTGTGTGACTTTACCTTCCGGAGCATTTAAGTCCCCCACATGGTTTCTTAGTGGGGTTCGTGTTGTTCAATTTTTGTTTTCTGTGAAGTGTTTTAGTTGACTGTTGTTTGTCTTTTTGTCTTGTTTCTTTTGGTCCTAATGTTTTCCGTTGTTCTTGGACTTACAGTCTTTAATAACCCCCTTGGTATTTTTTAGCTCTTTTTTTACTTTAACACAACATCCATTTGTTTATTGTTTTACAGTAAAACATCCATTTGTTCATTGTTTTGCAGTAAAGCATCCGTTTGTTCATTGTTTTGCAGTAAAACATCCATTTGTTCATTGTTTTACTGTTAACATCAATGCAAAAGAAAGATAAACAACCCAATTGATTTTTTTTTATTTGCTGATATTTCCCAGAGTATATACAATTTAGTTTTTACCTGTTAAGGTGTTCTGTATGAATGTGTTGATAAGATTGCAGTCATTAGAGCATTAATCTTATTAAGTTGTTAAAATCTAACTGTTCATTATGAAATTCAGACATTAATCTGTTTACTTGGTAGATACTATAGTAAAAGTTATGATCCAGACTAAGTGAATAATTTCATAACCAATTTTCATTAAAAATATGCGTCTACTGGCAAAATGAAAATGCTTTCTACTGAAATACAGAAAAACATGTAATATAAATATGAAGTGAATAATGGAGAATTATTCATAGGCGGATCCAGGGGGGGGGGGGGGGCTTTTGTGGGAAAAATTTGGTTGATTATATAGGGAATCACTGAAGCATGACTGTAGCGGGCCCCCTCTTATGGCGGTCAGTGCCCCCTTTATATAAAAAGTTCTGGATCAGCCACTGTTATTTTAAAGGTGTAAGCATTATAAAAATGATATAATCCCATACTTATCACTTTTAATTAATTCTATAGTTTTCTTTAATTCAATGAAAACTTGTACTGAATTAACTCGATCCCATCTGAAATAATAAAATCCTACCTTTTACTAACCTCTCATTATTCTAACACATATACCTCTATTGTCAAAGAAACAATAAACATCAATTCTAACTTAAATACTTTTCGACATTTAATACTGTCGGAATTTATATTTGGTTTCGAGCACTGGTTGGATAATTTCAGTATCATGTGAATTCCGTTTTGTTAACAGTAGATTTATGTTATTTACTGACTTTTTACAGGTTAGCAGTTTCAGTTTCGTGGACCAAACAGACGACTATCAAGATGAGGAAACGTTCAATCTCTGATGAGAAGGAGAATATCAGCGTTTCAGAACCGAAATCAGATCATTCACAAAAACAGAAACGACCGAAAGAGACTTATTATACGGTTGAGGAATTCGTCAAAGAAGACGTTTATTTGATAAACAGAAAATCGAAAGTCGATAAAAACCTCCTTGCTAATAGTCTTACTGCGAAACTAAGACAGGGTATACCAGGAGAAGTGGCAGTGAACGGGGGTTTAATGAACAAACTCAGACGAGAAAGTCTAAAAGATATTGTTCAACTTAACCATCTTAATAAACAACTTAACAACGAGATGCAAATGGAGGCCAATCGAATCGACAATCAGAGTCAGCAGTTGGTGAGGAGACAGGAACAAATGAAAAGGCAATCAGAATATCTCAGAAAAAACCAAGATAAAATAAGATCTCAAATTAGAGGTCGATCTGGAAATACCAGCTCAAAAGTATCATCCCTACCAACATTGAAAATGTCGCCTACGACATATACTAGTACTGCATTAGATGACGAAACCCGCCGAGAAAGTTTATCAAGGACATCGTCACGTGATTCAGCAAAACAAAGAAAGGAGCTGAAGTCTAATTTCAATATGTTCCCCGTAGAATATGAAAACGAAGATCCAACATATGTGAAGCATTTCAAACATATGGGACTCTTTCAACCGCATAATAAATATCATCATCTTAACGAGAAGCAATGTCCAGAGAAAAGTATTCTAAGAAAATCGTATTATATGCCAGAATATGAAATTCTGACATTGTCTATGAAAGATTCCGACCTCAACAGCGAGGATGGAAGTTCAGTAAGTAGTAAGCAGGATCAAAAATCTCAAAAGAAAAAAGGCCTTCGGGTCACTTGGACCGGGTTAGATCGCGAAACAGATGACAGGTCTGCTACTACGTATTATACATCGCAATCGCCTGACAGTGTGTCAGTGAAGAGTTTCAAGAGTGACTCTAATGCACAACCAGTAAGTTTTACAAAACCTTGTAAAAGTAAATTAGATTGCGTTGGAATCCGTTGGAAATTGCCACCTCAGGGAATGAGATCATCACACTCTGCTGGAAATCGACCGAAAAGAGTTTCACATAACTTACACCCATGTGCGTCTGCCATGAATAAGTTTGGTACTTCTATAACAAAACAAAAGTGGGCTGTGCCAACGATGACATCAAACACTTCAACATATGAACTTTATAAAAACTGGCTAGCAAAACTTGAATTGTTAAAAAATCCCAATGAAGATAACATTTATCATCCAGCACAACGTAACCAAACGACGAACGAAAGTATTAGTTATACTGTCCCCGTGACTGAACGTCCCCCAGTGTCAATGTATACTGTGTAAATAAGAAAAAAAGTGTTAGTATCTATATATATATATATATATACATATATTAAATTAATATAATTTATTGAAAGTTTCTTAAATTGTCAACTGGTGACATACAGAAAAGGTAATGTATATAGATTATTGCGAGGGGATCTCAGATGTGAAAAGTAAAATTACGAATGAAATACCAAAATATATAAAAAATAAACTCAAACAAAACACTACAAAGATTCGCCGAAATATCAGATTATTCCATGAAAATAAAACTTAGATATTAAATTTTAAATAAGAAATGAAATAAATAGCGTCAAGTTAATTACATTTACACAAAATATCACAACTTGGTTGACCGTTGTACAATTTTTCAATGGTATCACAGATGACCACAGGTGGTATGTCTATTTTATAGTATCAATTTTTAAGTCTATGTTCCTATGACTTGTCACCAGATTTGACATAAGTAATCCGCTGCATATTCTTCCAGTTCCCTTGCCAAATTGTGGCGACCGTTTGGCTGTGATGTATAAACACACAGCCACGTCAGGTCTGAATGGGGACGTTAAATCGGATAACTCGTGTAGAGAGAGTATCATTTGCGTTAGAGAACCCCTGCAACAACTCTTTGAGAGATCCGTACGTGGTTTGTTGCAAGGGAAAATTTCTGCCCCTATCCAACACACCGTTGTTTTCCAATGGCAGTCTAAATTTCCGCACTTCATCCCTGTCATCCCACCTTACAGAATCTACCTATCGTATTATTTTATAATAGTTTCTCGTCCTGAATATACATGGAATAATTGTCACTGGATATTATACAAGCAGCAATGAATAAATATTGTCCAATCTTTAGCTTCCTGTGTAGTGTTTTTAGGACTGTTGTTTATCTTTTCGTTTTTTCTTTTCTGTTGATCATGGCGTTGTCTGTCCTCCCTTTAAGTCTTTTATTGCCCAATCGATATCAGTTTTAGTTTTCTTTTTTTCTCTCTTATATTTATAACCATACTATTGCCTGCCCTTAGATTTACGGTTTCAGATAACCCTTTTATTTTATTTGTGGTCATGTCGACAGCATAGTCAAAAAGGCATTCGTTATACGACTGCCAAACTTGTAATGCACATAATTCAGACTCTCTTTCATTCGTCATCATTGGAATATATCTTTCAAAAGTTGTTTAATTTTCTTTATTAAGAAAATAAATTTATTACATAAAGATTCGAAGAATTATCTTAAACGAAATATGCTAAGAAAGAGAATGTGTTTATGTTTGTATAGTATAAATGATACGTTTTAGTGCCTTTATTTATGGTCTTCATTGTGGTGAGGCCAGTAATTGGAGCAAAAGCGTACACCTCACTGGAAGTTCAAGAAACGTTCAAGACGGCCCCTAGCACGAGCACAGCTATGATGTAATATAAACAAATTACAGACTAGGTACTATTTGTTGTGGTTTGCTGATGTTCTAACGTCTATTTTTCCAGAAGAGTCGAGTAAAGGTATTGTATTGTCCGGATGTTTTTGTTAATTACTGTAGTTATCATTAAATACTATAACTGTTATGGTTTATAAATCATTTCGTTTTTTCTGTTTTGTCATTTCCCCAATATCACAGCAGAAAAAATAAACCAGAGGTTAAATCGAAGATGCAACAACATCACAGCATAAAAACTATTATGGAAGAACATTTTGAAATGTCACCTACAAACAAAATTCATTTTCATGCTCAAAAGGTATTCTTCATATCAGTATAATATACAATTAAAACATAAACTTGAAATTTAAAAAAATAAAGGTTAAGACTTTAAACATTTCTCAACAAATAAAGAAATATAAAAATAGTCTTTTCCAATGGTATCTAGATATCTCAATTGTTTAAATTATAAAATGTAAAGGTTAAAATAAAGATACAAAATTAACTAATGTTTGTTTTAACAACATATAGTACTCATGGCTTTGCCATTAATTAGTATTAAGGTATTAGTATACTTGGTCAAACACGAAAATTATATCTGAAGTCTTTTGAACTTGACAAGTTGGAATCAATCCAAATGATTTAATATTTCAAATTTGAAATCTGTGTAATTACTAGATAGATTTGTATTGACTTATTCAGTTAAATGGTCAAGTGTATCTGTAACTAGATCTATTGATTACTAGAACGTGCAGAATAACCAAAATAACAAAGTATCCTCGTCGCAAATTGATTTATATCAAAGTTTATTCAAAGTTTAAACTTATACAGTATAATTATACGGTGATATGTGAATAAAGTTAAAGAGCATACATATATAGTATACATAAAAAAATCTTGTAAATTCCAAAGGGACACCGAATTTCCAATGATCTTGGCCATGCTGTACTAGAGTAACTTGCTTTAGATGCGTATAATACTATGGCCGATTATAAGAAGATATTGAAACAGTAAAATTGTAGGTGATTTTTCACAGAGTAAATAATTTTACTGTTGATCACTTCGCAAAAAAAAAAAAAAGATTTTACTTTATCCATTCTATAACAATAGAACAAACTGAAACGTGCCATAACGGAAAAAAAAAACAGTATTATGAAATTAGACTTATTTTGTTCTTCGCTCGTTATTGTGAAGTTTTGAATGAAGAGCAACAGTATATTTGCAAATGATACCCTTTGTATGTATTTCTCGAATAATCTTCATCAAGGACGCTAAAGACCAAAGGTTCGGGAAGCAAAATGCTTAAACCCATTTATAGGATTAACAACAAAAAGGGCCTAAAGGAAACAACCAAAATTGTCTAAGGTCAATCATTTCTGAGAAAGTTGCAACCTCTGTTTTCGTACAATTATATAAATTAGAAACACCTTCTCAATAATGTAATACATTTAACACGTTGGGTAAGGTTGTCCTGCGAGAGAATGTTCTGTGCTGGTGATTTGGTCCTGACCGATGCTGGGCGATCCTGATTCTGTGCTGGTATTTTTTTACAATGTATCAGAACGGCAATACACCAACAGTTCTGTTACTTTAATTTTGTACCTCCGTGTTACTTAAAAAAATGAATAAATATGTATTCATATAGTTAGGGCAGTGATGTCGTTGATAATTAGAATTAAACTAAAATTAAAAACTGAATGGGTCTATGAATACACATGCGTCATCGATCTTTAAAGACCCAACATGTTGCTAAGCACCTATCCTACATGTACCTCAATGACAAATAAGTTGTTTTCTGCAGATAAAGCCACAAAACTTCTTTTTTTGTGTGTAAATCACATTATTTCTTATGCAGCAAAAATACTGCAATCTGATTGGTTAATTACCCCGGTGTAAATAACACCTCACCCTTGTTCACCCCGGGATAGATAAAATTGTGCCAAAAAAATAAAAAAATAAAAAAATTGCCAAAATAAAGAAAAAAATAAAATGTCAAAAAAAAAAAAAAAATATATAAAAAATAAAAAATAAATAAATAAAGAGGACAACAATTTTTTTTTCTTTTTTTTTCTGAATTTCCCAAAAATAAAGAAAAAAGTATTTGACAATACGCAGCAACATCAACGTTGAAAAAATATTACACTCGAAATTTTTCATTAGCATTTTTCAATTTTACATCCCGGTTTAAAAATGAGTAAAGGAATTGTTCATAAGAAATAAATTCGTTATCTTGCTGCGCCTCAGGGTGTATGAATTTTCAACAACGGTGTAAAATTCTGTACACCCCTGATTACACCAAGATAACTAATATTACACCAACTGCTTGATAATATTGACATTTCATTAGGAAGCTCAACATATACCCCAAAGATATTAACAAGAGAAAATCTTATAGGTCTGTTCTCTGTTCCTTCGGAATTTCAGCCAAAGATGAAGTACTGGATATTCTTTCACTTTATTGGATGCCAATATTACATAAGTGTCCTTACAAACAACGTTATATTGCTGAGTCTTCCATGCGCTCTACGAACCATCTTTCTAAACTATTAACATACTATTTTATCAGCAATCAAAGCCGAGCCTCAGAGTGAGTGTGAAAAAATATTCTACGGGCGGTGTGAATAGGATGGGGATTCTTACAAATTGCCTTACAAATTGTATAAAACAATTGACCTTTCTACCCTTTACACAAGTATTCCCCACTCCACATTGAAAGAAATAGTTTTACTTTGTTTTATCAAATGACCAACGTCGATATAAGTATCTTGTTTCAGGGAAGGACAAATCATACTTTGAAAAAAACACCCTAACTCTGATTAAAAAAAAAATACTCTTGAAACTGACAATGATTGACACCATATTTTGTTACGTTTGGAGGACGTGTTTTTCACGTGACAAACAATCGGAATTCACATGAGAACCAACTGTACTCCGTTCTTGCCGACTTTATTCAAATGAGGCAGACTTTATACAGGAAGAAGCTTCTAATGAAGAATGAAAAGAGGCTACCTTTAACTTCCTGTTCCGTTATATAGATGATGTTCTCTCACTGAATAATTCAAAGTTTGGTGGCTATGTTGAACGTATCTATCCCATCCAACTTGAAATAAAGGATACAACAGATACAACTAAATCTGCCTCATACCTTGTCTTACCTCTAAAACTGGACAATGATGGTCGGTTGAGAGCAAAACTTTACGACAAACGAGATCATTTCAGCTTCCAAATTGGAAACTTTCCATTTCTATATGCAGAAACATTACAGCAGTGCCTGCATATTATGTTTATATCTCCCAGTTAATACGATAATCCAGAGCTTGAATTTCCTATCATGATTTCCTTGACAGAGGGTAACTGCTTTCAAGAAACCTTTAAACCCAACGGTTCCAAGTGGTAAAGTTAAAATCGTCCAACCGATGACAGATGTTTTACGGACGTCATCACGAGTCGGTTAATTGTTATAGAAAATCTATTTCACAGATGACGACGGTTATATTCTAATTACCGTTACCACAATCCAGTCCTTTTTTTTCGAATGTGACATCACCGATTTAAACTTATCACAGAGTTTGTACTTATATGAGCAACACGACGGGTTCCATATGTTGAGCAGGATCTCGATCTTCATACCTATCCGGAGCACCTGAGATCACAACCAGTATTTGTTGCTATT